TACTGTGCATTTGTTAGCTGAAATTTTTTAACTTCAAAGAAAAGCTTTCATATCTATGATCTCACCTCCCACTACATATTATTATTTTACAACTCCTCTCTAGGGGGTAGGTCGTTCCACGCCTGGAAAGCCAGGCCGGGTGAAGATAATGAAGACCCGCCTCAGGCTACCCAAACCTCATTCACAGACAGCCCAGCCCACAAGCCACTGCCAGGGAGTCCCTGGGGGTTCCTCCCTGCTTGTTCAAAGACTAAGGCAGAGATGAAAAAATACACTAATTTCAAGCTGCGCTGGGAGCACACAGACACTCGGGTCATGGACAGGGGGCCTCAGAAAACGAGATTACTTTTGGGAACATCTTGAGAGATTCTACAAACAAGGAGAAATCGATTACTTCCAACTAATGTCAAGCATCCAGAAAGCCCAGAATTGGGAACCTTGAGTCTCCAGGGACTGAAAAGCCAGCTCTTGTTTACTTTATTTAGGCGGTGACTTTTCTCTTGTCTCCTACAATTTCTCCATGCGTGTGCCTTCATTTTTAGTAAGCTATTTTTATCTATTCACACACAATGTTTAGCTTTTCCTGTTTGACTTCCTCCAGAGTAAAAAGCCCCCCGTCATTGTTCTCCCTCAGGCTGGCCTGGGGACAATGGACATAAGCTTACTCTGACTTTGTTTGAGGGGCATTTAAAAAAAAATAACTCAACCAGAAGTCAAGAAAAAAATAATCCTGGTGGTAAAACTTTCCGCCTCCGCCTGTCTCTATTGTCTCAAAACTAACTTCCATGTTTCCATGTCACAAAAATTGGGCTGCGTCACCTTCCGTGGAGTGGACACTGTAAAGGTTGCTTCAGAATCTCCTACCTGGGCATCTGATGAGATGAGTGGACACTGTAGGTGGCGGTAAATTCTTCCACCCCGATTACTCACAAGGCAGAAGTAACCTGTGATTAACGACTTCAATTCTTCTCTCCTTATCTGTGAGTGGCAGAACTAGTAACCCAGTTTACGACTACCATGTGGTCTCTCCACCTTGCCATCACTGCCCTGCCCCTGGGGATGTTTGACAGAGGTTAGCTTCTTACTAAATACCAGGTGTCCTTTGAAAAGGAGTCTCACCTTGCCTGCCCTTTTGAATAAGTGTAGCCCGTGCTGTGCCTTGCATGCAGTGGGCACTCAATAAATACTGTATGAATGCAGCTTATCCTCCATCAGTTGGTCTCTCTGAGTCTCAGTTTCCTTTGTGTAAATTGAGAGTATTGGCAAATGATTGATTGCTTCTATGTTTTCCAGTTTTAACATTCTATGGGTCCTTTCAGATAGCCATTTGAAATTATCTTCCATCTCCAGTGCTGTTTCTAAGCAACAGAACAGTATTTCCTTGAACTCCTTGCTTAACCTCTTCCTCCCACAGAGATGTTTCTCACCGAGCCTGAAGCATCATATTATCTGTAATGCTCATTTATTTATTATCTGGTGATACATCTGGGGTTGTTATTTAGCTTTTCATCTGCGTAGATTCTATCCTTACAATTAGAGTGTAAGCTTCTCAAGCCAGATATTATATAAAATGTGCCCAGTAAACATTTGTTAAATAAAGATCACTTGAAGAAATAGCCATAATTCTATCTAGAGGGAGTTCTGGGTTTAGGGGAAGCAGAAAAATCAAGGGTGAGCCCCAATTTTGTGGTTTGGGACACTTGGTGCACGATGATGCTATTCTTTGAGGTAGGTAACCCTGCAAGTGAGACAGGTGTAGAAGGAAGAAGGAGAGGAGGGGAGTTTAGTGAAAAGCTGCATTCTATACCTCCTTCTTGGAGATTCTCAAACAACATTAGCCAAGTAATGATTTTGAAGCATGAGATCCTGGCCAAAGAAACGTATTTTACTGTGTTTAGCTCATAGCCTCCCAAATATTGAACATGGTTTGGGAAACACGGATATAACATAAGAAGAGAAGCAGGGCTAGGGAGGAAACTTGCAGAACAAGTAACGTTTAAGGAAGGGCCAAAGGAACTTGAAAAGGAGCATGCAGGGAGGAGGGGGGGTGCGCGTCTAACCAGCTTTGGTCCTGGCTCCATCCACTCACTGAAAGGGAGAAAAACTGAGGCCTGCCTCTTGCCATGGGAAAAGGGAGCCTGTGGGCTGCGTTCTGAATGCGGAGAGTTCTTGGAAGAAAGGGGCTCAAAGCACTTCCTGATTCAACTCTCTCATTGCCCTCTCTTCCCAAAGAACTCGCCTCTTTTGCCAAAAGAAAGGCCTTACTAACACTCTTAAGTGCTAGAATAACCCCATATCCAATCTTATAACTATAATGAATTGTTTTAAATTAGATCTGATACAGGCAAAGATAATATGTGACAGATGCACAATTCTGTGAATGTATTAAAGCTACTGAATAGTACACTTTAAAAGGGTGACCTTTGTGATATGTGAACTACGTCTTCATAAGGACATTATATATAAAAAAAGAAAATTCAAGGGGGAATGAATACTTTCAAGATAAAATTTTCTCCAAATAATAAAAAGTCAGTGATTTGTTGTTTGTTCCTTCTTTGTCCCTTAAATGCTTTATTTACCTCTGTGGCCGTGTGGCAGCTGAGAGACTACCACTCTTACCCCTTACTCCTTGTTTTCCAGAATAATTTCAGGTGGTGAAATTAATATGTTTTTAATCAAAATTTCCTTTCTCAACTTAACGTGCAAATACTATCCAATTCTTGGTTTCTGACATATTTGTGCCCATGTGGAGCTTTGTCTGGACATTTCTATAACACAGGATATGTTAGTTTATATAGTTTCTCTGTACATTTGTTAGATCATTTTTCTGAAAGTCAGACTTGTTGAGGTATAATTTACATTCAGTCAAATTCACCTTTGGAAGGTTTCTAATTCTATAAATTTTGGTGAAAGTTTTACAGTCACATATTCTCCAGCACATTTGAGATAGAGCCTATTTCCACACCCTAAAATGTTCTCTCCCCACATCCAGGCCCCCCAATCTGATTTCCTCTCTTAGGGTACTCATCAAGTTCTATTTTGTGTTTCCATGATTTATCCTGAGATAAATCTATCAGGTAGGATCTGGCTTTGTGTCCCTATAGCACCCAACGTGGTGTGGTATCAGTCACCTAAAAGTTGCTTCATAAATAGATGCTGAATAAACGAATGAATCACTTGGGTTTTAGATCCTACCAAATCTTCTCCGGGACTCTGCTCTCTGATTTCTGGGATATGCCATTTGAAAAGAAGCTATTAATCTTGGTGAAAGCTTTCTCTTAGAGTTTTAATTTATAGTCGTTGTCATAGTCGTCTTCTTTTTCTTCTTCCTGTAAAGAAAAGGGCCATTGTGATTTTCAACTTCAGGGATTTTGCAGAGCATTTCAAACATTTCCTTAGACTTGGGGCATGCAAGTTTGTTTGCTTAACCAGCATGTGAGCCTCAGCCCTCTCGACCTGAAACAACAGATGGAGATAGAATCTGGGACTAAATACAGTTGCTGCTCTCTCCTTCTCTGCCTGCTGGCCTAGGGTCTCACCCAGAGCTTCCTGGAATAAGTTCTGTGAGATTCCAGGGGTGGAATCTGACACCTGGTGGAGGTGGAACTTCACCTTTCTCATCACGCTGGGTGTGGCGCTGTGAAAACCAACCCACAGCTGGCTCATCAGTCAGGCATAGATCCCCTTGGTCCTTCCTGTTCTGATTCCTCTTCTGTCTTGATGTGAATCAGTAAGTTGACATTTGCAGAGCAATGCCAAGAGGCAATGACCAGAATTCCCCCTGGCCTGACCAGTTGTTGGAAATGGCCTAGTCCTGGAAGAGAGCTGCCTTATCTTGAAAAGTGTGTTGCTTTCCTCCAGACTGGCCTGCTCCCTTCGCACAGATGGGTCCCTGTGTGCTTTCTGGGGATTGGCTGTCCCCTGCTGTGTCCTCTGCCCAGATGGCAAAGCTCGAACAGCACAGGCATCATGAAACCTCACATTTTCCCTCTCGGGAGGTTGCAGCGTGTTTCTGATATGAAGACTTGATGCCGGCATCAAATAGCTTCCAATGGAACCCCATTCCCTCTTGTCAGACATTTGGCCCTGCACTTGGCCCAGGGCTTCCCTGGAGCAGCTCTGCTGGAGGACAGTTCCTGCTGCTGGTGACAATGCATTCTGTAAACCTGAATCCTGCCAAACCTTTCAAGGTGTGACCTCCTGACGCAAGGTCAGGTTCTGATACATGCTGTGCAACAAAGCACCCAAAAGGTGTTCACTCTGGACACAGAATAATTATGCAGTTCATAACCTCTGGACAGATAAACCATTAACCAAGGGAGCCAAATAAGTTCCTTGTGCAGTAATGATGACAGGGTGTGTGTGTGTGTGTGTGTGTGTGTGTGTGTGTGTGTGTGTGTGTGTGTGTGTGAGAGAGAGAGAGAGAGAGGGAGAAAGTGGGAGAGAGAGAGGGAGGGACAGAGAGAGAGGGTAAAGGGGGATGGAGATGCTTCAGAAAAAGAAAAGAAAGGGAGAAAGAAAATCAAAGAGGAGTCAAAGTAGAAAAAAAGCTTTTATTCTTCATGAAGATCTTCTACAGGTATGACCATCAAACTTTTTAAATTACTACCATAGTGATAAAGGGCGTGCACACACATACACAAATGTATAAAATAAAATAGAAAATAAAATTGTGCACAGCTTATTGATTATGAGCACGGGAAACCTGTTTCTATTGTACTGTGTGCGCGTGAGGGGACAGTGCCCTCCGGCAGCGCGAAGTCCACCCTCAGGCCACGTCCTGTTCCTGCGGTGGGGTCGGCCACCCTGGCCTCCCCAGCCCACACGCCCCGCGGTTGCCGCCCTGCCAGGTTGCGGCGCGGCCGGGGCTGGAGGGCGGGCTGGACACCGCGGGGGCGGGCGGGGCGCGGCCCCGGCGCGGCCCCTGGCTCCTGGCTCCTGGCTCCTGGCTCCTGGCTCCTGGCTCCTGGCAGCTTCCGCGGCGGCGGTTCGGAACACTGCGCGGGATGGAGGCGAACGCGGAGGACTGCGTGGCCGCCTGGTGGGCCATGGTTGTGCGGAACGTGCGGTGAGTGCGCGCTGCCCGCGGCCAGGACCCCTGTCCACCCTAGGAGCTCAGGGACAGCTCGGGCTGCTCGGCGACCGGGCCGAGGGAGGGGCCGAGCGGAGACAAGGCTACGAAGGTGACCAGGGCACAGAGGCCGGCGTTGGGGCCCCAGAGCAGGCCCTGGGATTGCCAAATGGGGGGCGGGGGCTTCAGAGGCCCCAGAGCTCTGTGAACCTCGGGCTCTTTGGATGCCGCCTTGTCCTCAGCCTCGGCCCCTACTCTGGCGAAACTACCAGCTTTGATTTTTTAGGAACTTAGATCCCTTTGGAGCTTCTGAAATAGAGATTCCAGAAAGATGGTTCAGGTTCCTGTAACAATCTCTCTTCTGCCTTGACCATTCCACTAATACTCAGGGTGGATTAAAAAAAAAAAATAATGATAGTGACAATAAAAATCTCTGTTGTAGCCTTGGGTGGCATCCCTTCAGGTCACCTAGTAGATGGAAACGGACCGGAAAGCCAGCTAGCTCCCAGAATGTGAACTCTCTGGAAGGTATTTGAAGAACAAACACCCTTCCATAATGCTGAAGGGGAATAGTACCTTGAAACCATAACCTGACATCGCCTGTGCTACGTTCTTACATCCTTTAAATCTGAAATGTCTATATCAATGCGTTTTTTATTTTCTTCTTCCCATGAATCCTTGACTTAAGCAATAATCTTAAGCTACCTGAATCCACCAGCAATATATTACCAGTCTTGTATGTATTGCAGCCAGGTATTGGTTGGAGCCCCGGAACCCAGGCACTTGGGTATCTTGTTTCGTTTTGTTGGTATGGGAATGTATTGGCATTTTTGTTTACCTTTGTTTTTGTTTAATTTTTTTCTCATTACAAAATATCCAATAATCGCACCCAGACAAAGGAGACTTCACTTGGGAATGCCTGAGTGGTGAAGACAAATGTCCACCTTCTGTCTTCTTGTTCCTTCTGTGGCTGAGAGCAGGGAGCAGAACACAGCTGTCCCCTGGCCCAGCAGGGCGGGCCCACGCCCCCTTCTGTGTTGGATCCGAATACCCGTCAGAATACCCTGACTGACAGCACTGTTCATTCCCGGGCATTTGCCTCCTGATACAGTCAGTTGTTCTGGGAAAGCTGGCATTGACTGACCTTCTACTTCGTGCTTTCTGTAGAGCTGATGGCTGATTATTTAACATTTATTTGGCAGAGAATCAAAGATGCAGTTCATGCTTTTAGAGAACAACTCACTTTGTTGTTGATAATGGAGCGGGAGATGGGGAGTTGGGAACCCTCTACTACTTGCCTTACTAATTACTAAAAAACAAGTTTCAGGAGGAGCTTCCTGAAGGAATAAAATAATAGCGCATATCTTCGAGCAGAACATTACTAATCTAATTTAACATGCTGAGGCTGAGGCCCAGACTGGTATCCAGTGTCCTGGATCCTGGGTCCCTTTCGTTTCTTGGAGCCAGGTTAGTTGAGGTCAGCACATAGTATGGAGGGCTTGCTGTGCACCTTTCCTTTCAGTTTCAACTTGTTGATCAACAATATTTATGGAGCTCAGCCCTGTGCTGAGTGGATGGAGTGGAATATAGGAACAGCATTATATGCCATGTGGTTCTTGTCATCTGGGGCCTGGCATAATGTTGGAAAGACAGGGCTAATGACGAGAAAACAATCAGACCACAATTAAAGGTCAAACTGAGGCCTTGATTATAATTAGTAGGAGAGGTGAAAAGAGAAGAAAGGTCACCATGGGAAGATCTGTCTAGAGAGGCTTTGGCAAAGAAGAGACACTTGAGTGGATGTGAAAGAAGGGGAAGATTTGGTTGCGAGGAAAGAAGAGGGGAGGACATAGATGTAACTTGCTGCTTGGTGATTGATGCATGTTGGCTGAATGAATGGGCACAGATGTTGTGTGCGCCATGTCTAAATATTTGGAATAGTTGCCTTGCCAAATATGGTTAGATTTTGCCAGAGACCAGTCTCGTCCCAAAGTGGGTTTGTAGATACCTCTAAGCATGAAGCGCAAACAATTTGCCCTGTGGCACCTCAGGCTCCACCAGGCTTCTCCAGTAAGAATCATCCAGTTCGGCTCTGTGGGCACCGCCCCTCCACCGGGGATGCTATGCAGTTACAGGCACATCTGATCAAAAAGCAGGTGAAGGAACACCAGAGCATCAAAGTGGCTGTTTGATGTGGCTGACCGTTAGCAGAGAGTGGGCTGAAGCTGCACCCTCTGCTTAAATAAGGTCTATTAGCCACTGGTGACTTTTGATCCCCTACTGATCTAGGGGAAGTCAAATTAACAATCTCCTAGTTAAAAGAAGCCGCTGCGCAAGCTCCAAGGGGTCCCGCCACTCTGTTCTCTTCTCACAGAAGTGCCTTGAGCTATTTGTGAGAAGGGCCCTGTATGAATTATTCTTTAAAAACGGGAAGATATTTCCTTCTACTGCCTCTGCCTCCTAAACACCCCGCTACCTTCAAAGAAAACTTAGCAGGAGCCTAACAGGCAGGGCAGCCTGAGTTCTGAGAATCAGCAGAATGAGAGCTGGCACTGGCCAACTTGAAGGAAGCAGAAGAATTCAGATTGTGCTCAGTTCTGCCCATTTTGGCTTGATCTGTGGCTCAAAGTGATTTTCCTGGGTTTTGGTATTTTTATCTCTAAAATCAGAACAACAGTGTCCCCTCCTTCCTACCACCTTCATGGAGGCTATTTTAAAGTATTATGCAATAGGGATTTTCATTGCTTTCTTGCTCATTTGACGAGTAGGCAATTGCCCATATCCAATGTATTCAAAGAGCTATTCATGACCCATAGCCCACATGTCCTCTCCACTCCCTGCAGAATTGCTGGAAATTCATCAGAGATTCATTATCTTCTCCCTTCACGCCTCTTCCGAACATATATAAGCGCTCTGACTTTTAAGTTATTAACACTTGAGGGTAATTTGTTTAGAGGTCTTTCTTTGATACTTTGATATCAGAAGGCTCCTGCGAACACAGGAGCAGGGAGAGGGGAGAAAGCAGGAAGGAGCAAGGGACCCTGAGAGCGTCAAGGGAGCCGAAGGGAGAAAGGGGTCTGAAACAACCTTCTCCAGGAGCTGAATTTTGCCAGAGACCAGTCTCGTCCTTAGGGTTCATTTTTGCTTGTGTGGGTGGCACGGTGAAGTTGCCAGGAGTGAGACGGCGCACTGGAGGGCTTCAAGAACTCGGGCCAGGCAGGCCTGGGTTACATGTGGCTCTGCCATTCACTGGTTGTGTGACCTCGGGAAGATTACTTAACTTTTCAGTCTTCTAACTTGCAAAGTACAGGTAATAATAGTTATCTTCTAAACTGCCCCTGGTCTGGCAGCGAAGTCAAGGCAGGGGAAAGAGTTCATCAAAAATGCTTTTCGGTAGCTCCTCAGCCTCCCAATTTGATTGCATTGAGCGGTCTTCACACTGACTGCTCACCATAGGGAAATGGATTTATTTAATGGATGATGGGGACAAAAACTGGAGGCAGGAGGTGTTCACACTGGCATCCTGCATCCCTCGCTTCTCAAAGGTAAGAGACACTGAACCCTTCTGAGAGATGTGGCTGGAGACAGGGTGACGTCAGTGATCCCTCTTGTCTGCCGCTGGCTCCCAGTTTAGGTGGTTTGTGTCATGGGAACAGTGGCATAGACAATATGTGCATGGCCCCACTGTGTCCCTCCCTGACCAGACCCAGCCCTGCTGTCGCCAACCTCTAGACCCTCCCCCCCTCCCCACCCCACTTCTCATGGTCCCTCTCACCAGGGATGTCACATCAGAAGTGGGCGTTTTCCCTTATTGGCTCATTTCTTCTTAAGACCCAGTCAGAAGGGTGGTGATCTGGTGTTTATTTGCTCAATGCTTTAGACTAATAATAATAATATAATAGCTAACACAAACAGCACTGAATTATGATATGATTAAAAACTGTGGCAACTGTTAAGTCGATTCCCGGCTCCTGACGGCTTTGGGGTCCTTCTGTGGGGCTTCGGTGAGAGAACAAGCCTGACTCCGGTGCATCCGTGTCCCCTCTCCTCCTGTGCTGTCCCTCTTGGGCCTTTTCAGCAGCTGGTTGGGGCCCCGCCTTATTGCTTTGCTCACCCATTTCCCCCTTAGTACCTGCGCAGTCTTGATCTGCCCTGATTACATTCAGTTCTGTAAATACTTAAAGGCCAAGTTACCGGTAATTCCCTGTGTTAATCTCTGAAATTTTATTTGGGCCTTAAGAAAAAAAACAAACCAAGACAAAACCTGGACTGATTTTTGAACACCTTGTTTGTTTCACAATATCTTGCAGATGTATTCCGCAGCGCTGTGAAATACTTGGAAGAAAAATTGCCGCTCAATACCGCAGCTTTACTAGTAAATCGTTAAAAGAACACATTTTCCCTCCTCTGATGGACATGCTAGTTTATTTTAATTTTTGTAAGTATATACCCTTCATGAATCTGCCTATAATTTTTTCCAAATAAGAATTTACTGTCCTTAACATCGTGGCACAAGAAAAAATAGATGTCAGCTATAAAATTGTGGCTCGAGTTAAATGGTCTGAAACCAATTCACTATTGGCTTTGGGGTCTAGCATGAGTCCTTCCAATCTGTTGGAAATAGAAAACCACAGCCTTGTGGGAAGGGTTCCAATTCAGAAGCTCAGTCTTCAAATCAGCTGTTAATGTAGATGTTTTTACTGCCTATTGCATTCTTTTTCACTTCCTCTTCTTACCTATATCAAGAAAGGGGGGGTGGGGAGAGAGAGAGAGATGCTGATGGCAGAACTCTATTTTCCCATGTCTTTTCTACTGAGCACGGTGTTAGTCAATGTACTAGGTGGCCCTTCCAGTACATGGGTAATGCTCTCACCTGCATGTCCCCAGGTGCCTGTTTATCCTGGACATTTCATGGCTTATGGCTAATAATTAGGTTTCACTTTAAAAAGTAACACTTGACAACAGCAGAACACTCATTACCTGTTTCTAGGTCCTCTTATCTTTTCAGAGGAATGGTCTCCTTTGCTTTTAGCTTGAGATAAACATAAGGATTGAATCAATTCTATTATGAACTACCTACCACACACTGGTGCTGTTTTGAAATCTAGCTTTAGAATTTTTTTGGCCAACCCTTCTGTAGGCTAGTCTTAGTTTATAAAATAAAATACTTTGCTAAGAATTTCGTGTAGTAGCTTGCAACTGAGAAACATGTTACCCATGAGGTTAATTACCTTTTTTTTGATTGTGAGTAAAAAGCCTGGGATTTGATTCTAGGAGTGATAATGATTCCTACTTTCTAGTCAAAGCACCGTTTCTTGTGGATTTAAAGGAACCAGAGTCAAAGATACCTCACACAGCGAACTTCTATATCAAAGTTGAACCTGGGGTGATTCTGGGAGTCTGGTGAGTGCACTGACTGGACACTGGGTTGCTCGGTGAACTCGGTTTTCATGTTACAAGGGCGAGAATGAGCAGGGCTGTGCTACTCACCTGTGGAGAGATTGGTGTTCCTTGGAGGCACCTGGAGGCTCTTCCATACACTTTTCACTTGTATTGATATTTGACCTGCTTCAATTTGCTTTTCAGGAACTTTCTTTTGGAGGGTGGCAGCTTCTAGGTGTTGCTCTGGGCTTTGGGTCTTTCACCAGGCCTGACGGGCCTGGCCCCGGCCCCTCCCCTGGACTTATTCCACGCTCCTCTCTCCACTCTGCTCCAGACGCACTGGCCTCCTCGCGCACCGTGCCACGCTCTCTGGCTGCAACGATTCTTTCCATCTCTTTGTTCCCTCTGTTCCCACCTTCCACTTAACTAATTGCCTGCTCATAATTTGGGTCTCAGATTGGCAATTTTCAGGGAAGCCTTTCCTCATCCCCATTTTAGACATAAATTAGTGGCAACCTGTGCTTGTCCCTCATGGCATTTATTCCCACTGTAATTTAATAATGTTTGTGTGATTATTTGGTTAGTGTTTGCTTTCCTTACAAGACTATGTCTTCCATTAGTGACTTTGTTGGTGGGTCCTCATTGCTTAGCACAGTGCTTGACACTTAATACATATTTATCAAATGAAGTCATGAGCATTCTATTGTCTTTTCCACTAAGTTTATCTCAATATCTTCTTCTGTTTGGTTCTATTCCTTTTCCTTGGCTGCCAATTTTCCGGTGCTGTTTTATATTTCATTTCCCCGAGTCTAAACATGTGATCATGGAATGTTTAGGACCCAATACAGATTCACAAACTTCTTCCCATACTGTAGTGTACAGTTCAGCTAAGATTGCTGGAATTTGAAAATTGTTTTATCCTTTGCACTTACCCCATCGGTCCTTGGTTTGGTGGGTCACCTCTCTGGCCAGCTCACCCCGCTAGCAGTGATGCCTGTCTTCTCAGGATAGAGGCTCTGGGGTTTGATGGCTCACTTTCTGCCTCTAAAGATTGAGAGGCCTGAAGACTTGTCATCATGTGGCCAGTTCTGCAAGTCACCTTAGGACATGTCAAATGGCAGTGTTTATATTTTCCGGGTTTATTCATTGGCTTTACAAGGTAAAGGAACTGATGCTCAGACAGATATTTAAAATCACAAAGTCAGTGGGTTTCTTGAGTAGAATAGCTTAGCTTCATGTTAAAGTTTCTTCCTCCTACCTAAATGGATTTCCCTTTACATTCTTTACAGTTTGGCTGTTAAATCAAACCAATAGCACGTGGGAAATATCTTTTATCTTTTACTTGTTTCCACTCAATGAACTGTATTTTGATGGATTGCACCTAAGAATTGCAGTGTTGGAAGATTACTAGGTGTGGGAGTCAGAAGGACTAAAACAGTAAATGGTTAAAAGGGGTTGCCTCCATGCCTGGGGAAGATGAGGCAGAGCAACGGGGGTTTTCATTACAGGATGCTTTGTTGTATTATATTTAATGTTTACCATGTGCATTTATTACTTAGGTAAACATTTATATATGTAAATTTATATAAAATATACTTATATAAACTGTCTATCTATCTATATCTATCTATCTATGTATCTATCTGGCATAAGGCGTGTTGCAGACTTTGGCAAGATTAGAGAATTCTTCTCTCTGTCCATATTTGTTAAAAACCTTCCTTTCTCTTCAGGCACACAGTTCCTGCCTGCCGGGGGAAAGAGGCCAAGGGGAAGGGCCGTTGCTGGTATGAAGCAGCCCTTCAGGATGGCAACCCAATTATTGTTTATCTTCATGGCAGTGCAGAACACAGGTCAGTGCCTTTGCTTAGGCTTTTTTTTAAAAGAGAAAGACAGAGCATTTAATCTCCATGGGGGAGGGAAAGCAAAGATTGGTTTTCATCTAACTTTGTAAGATGCTTCCACATATATTTTTCCTTTGTTGAAATTTCACAGTGTTCTGGCAGTAAACTCTCTTAAAAAAACAAACAAACCATATATTCTATATGGAGAATAATGTGGATCCTTAACTGAGAGAGACACTAACTTCCACAATTTAGATACTGGTTTCCAAGAAAACAGTTGTTCCCTTCACTACTAAGAGTGTCTGACACGGCAGATTGACACCATGGATGATGGGAAAGGGAACAGGCATGAGATATGGGGGCAGGAAGAGCAATTTCAATATCGGTGGTGTCTTTCACAAAAATACATGAAGGTGCTTTCAGTCAGCATGCATCCTATTAATCAGTGGTGTGGACTTCCTATGAGAGACCACCTGGAATTCTGACCAGCTCTAGCCTAGAATGCTGATGCCTCAGCTTTACTCTCTGTGGTCCCAACCTTGCTTTGTAACAAAGACCACCTCCCAGAGGTCTGCCTCTGCTTTGATGTGCTGCCAGAGCCCTCAGTGGGCCTGTGACTACAGCGGGTGATGGTGATCAGCTCTGACTGCCCGGGTCTGCTTGGGGGAGGGGCGCGGTGCCTCACAGACCCACAGACTGGGCTCTGTCTCTGGAGGGTCACTTCAAACTAAGTGGCAAGCTCTGGAATCTGCCCCTTGGCTCCCTTGCCTACGTCTCTTTTTCTCACTGTCTTTTTCTGTCAGATGACGGCTTTCTCAAAACTTGCCTTTGCTCAAGCGGCTTTCTGGAAGAGTCCGTTTTAGAGTCACATTTACAGAGATTGCCTATGAATTCAGCATTTTTCAACATTGTCTAGCATTGTTCTGTGAGTGCAGACTTGGGCATGGTGTTACAGTGCACTTGTTTAAAGGATCACGTGGATCCCCCCTTCATGTCTGCCCTCTGTGTGAACCTGCCATCGCCATCAGTTATTGCACGTTTCCTGGCTCTGGGGCTAACCCCGGCTTCCTCCTGTCCCCTGCCCGGAGGTCTCAACTTGCTGTCAGTAGTACTGAGCGGAAAGGAGGACAAATGGGAGGTTACTTTGGAAAAAAATATTTCTTGAACCTCCAGGAGTGTGAGTCTCTCTCCTTCCCTCCATCTTGCACTGCGTGGTATAGTGGACAGGCTCCCGGCAGATCTCGGTTTAGTGACTGGGACTGTATCATCCTTTGTTGTAAAAAGCCGCTTTCTGGAACTTATTTTCCTTTAGCTTCTAAAAGTATTGTTAGAAATAAGTTTTGCTGTGTAGAAGTGTAAGGAGATGGATTTGAATGCCTCTTCATCAAACGCCTGTGACGAGAAGCAGAGGAGCTCAGCGGCAGGGGGGTCCATCAGTCATTCTCCCTGACACGCCCACTTCCCTTTCTTCTAGTTATTTATTTTTGTAACCTGACAAAGAAACATGTGAGATCAAATGCCAGCAGCATGACAGTGATTTTTATTGAATTTGTCATCCCAGTTCCTAAATCTTGCTTTTTTTTTTTTTTTTAACCTTTTCTACAGGGCAGCACCTCACAGGCTTAATCTAGTACAGGTATGTCTGAAGGGGCCACAAGGCACCGATTTTATGTCTCCACTTATTCTCTTCTGGGCTATGGCCCTAAGACCACCCTCAGCCTTCAGTGTGTTGTCTACTGAGAGCTCCCCGGAGAGGGCTTGGTGTCTGGGGCCCAGACTCCCATGGGTGGCCTTTCTTCCTACTTTGGCCATGGGGTTAAAATAGCTGTGAATATCTCTGAGTCCCAAAACACTTACATGAGCTTACTACCTTCATTAACAGATGGAATGGAAGATTTGTTTATTTGTTTTTTCTGAGGGCTGGGGGATGGGTTGAGGGGATCCATTAAGTGTGAAAGTCGCTCCTACAAGAATCAACCTTTTTTTTGTGATATAAGATAAAGACCTAGAATGTCTGTTTTTAAAAGTCATGCAGGCCCTGGCTTCAGCTCCATAAAAGGCCCTGCAGAGTGGGGTGGTGCCCCCCTTTGCTGTTCTCACGAGCCCGCTACGTGGCTTCAGTTTGTTGGGGCAGCCCCTGCGCTTCCCAATGTGAGGGCGATGGCAGGCTTCCCCTTCACCACCTCTGACTCCTGACTCAGAGTTGGTCAGCAAGCTCTCTGTGTGCCCTCTCCCACACTCCAGCTGCGTCAGTTTTTGATGCAGGTGACCAGGCCGCTTGTTCAGATCTCTCCTCTCCTGTGCCAGCTCCCTGATCAGGGCCTGATCTCTCCTCTCCTGTGCCAGCGCCCACCTCAGCTCTTCCCTGATCAACAGCATGAGTGGAGCCCAGGATCCTGGCAGGCCCAGAATCCCCAGCTCCTTCTTCATCTTCCCTCCCTGTTTCAGACAGGAAGCTCCTCTCGCCCTCACTCTCTGCCTCTCACAGCTGACTCTGGTGGCACAGTGGGGGCTGGATGCAGTTTTGCCTGGGATGGTGATGTCTAATCATTTTTAGGTCTGCTGGCCGTCCCGCACCCCCCTCTCTGCACTTCCCGCGTGGGATGGTGGTGAAGCTGATCTCTGTGAGAACATGTATTTTTTTCTCCTCCCACTCTTGGCAGAGTTGACTTGTATGTTCCCTATGTGCACAGGAGGGCGAAGGATTGGAGGTGTAGGTGTGAAAAGGGGCCAGATCATCCTTGTGGTAGTTGGGGTGGGTGGGGAAGGTATGAGAAGGCTCCTTCCCGTGGGCAGATGCTGGGTATCACAATCCCCAGTCATCTCCTCCCCGCCTGACCACACATCCTTAGCTCTTCAATTTCTCTTTTTCATGGGTGATTTCTTTTCAACAGAGTCATTACAGAAAACTTTATGAATTTAGCTTATTCTTCTTTAGGAATTTTTTTCCTAGAGATAAATTCTTAGAATCTGTTGCTGTTGTCGTTCTTGAGCTGTATCGTCAAGTGGTCCTTCCATCTACAGCGTCACAGACTACACACACATACTCCCATTTCCCTGGATGCTTAACTGCCCTGTTTCTTAGATAACCTTTTTTTTCCCTTTGGAGTGAGTGTAGTTTAAATAGATAATAACAAGTTAACATTTATTTTCTCATTATTAGTTTCATTTGTATTTAAAAGTTCCTGATGAGAGACAGCCACCCGCCTCTGTGCTGTGGGAGAGCAAGCACAGTCCGTGGTCAGACCCAGGCCCAGCTGTGAATCTGGGTTCGGCCTCTAGCCCCCTGGGGGGCCGGCCATGAACCCATTACTCACACCCTTCAAGGCTCAGTTTCTTTGTCTGTTAAATGGGGAAAATACCTACCTTCTAGGACCATTGTGAGGATTTAGTTGTAAAAGTGTCTGTGCAGTAAATTATGTCCTTTTTTCTCTCTTCTCTTTGTCTACTTTTATAATTCACTTCATTTAAAGTTATGTTTTCCGTATTCTTTCCTCATTTATTTACATGGGGCTTGGCAGTGGTTTGATTGAATCTAATGATCTCTTTATTTTTGATTGATATTAACTCTTTATGTCTTTATTTAATATAATTATCTTCCCATTATTTAATTACCTCTACTACAATTCTGTGTTGAGTTTTTATTCTCAAGGGGATTCACTAAAAAAGACATTTACTATGTACCAAGGTATTTTAATACGTCATCTCATGTAATCTTCTGACAATCCTGAAGGCAGCTGCCATTGTTTTTCACTTTTCAGAATAATGTTGACATATTTAAATGTTGAGTGGCTTGCCCAAGGCCGCACAGCTGGTGAGTGGTAGAGCGACAGAGTGGCCCAGGCCGGGTGACCCTGCTTGGCTGCCATGTCCATCACTTCCTCCCCATTGAGCCCGATCGTCTCAAGCTTGAAATCAAATGCCAGATTTCCAAAATATATCTTTTCCCTAGTGATTGAGCCATCACAGCTGGGGGTATGGAGGTGTTGAGGAGGTTATGACACCTCTTCTGTTTACATCTTCTAGTTAAAGTGATAACAGCTCCTTTGCCATCTAGGTGCTGAGTGACGGTGGCTTTCACGTCCTGTCTGTTGACTACAGAGGTAGGTGTTAAGAAGGCAAAGGGAGAAGAATTGGGACCACTGTAACAGAATAAATGAGAATAAAATAACTTACACCACAAAACCCAAAAAACAGTATACAAAAATTTTTCAAGAAGCAGGAGGCTTTCGATGCCTCACTTCAGAGGTGGTGATGCTGTGTTTGCCTTTCCTTGCTGCCAGGGTTCGGGGACTCTACAGGTAAGCCCACGGAGGAGGGACTGACGGCGGATGCCATTTGTGTCTATGAGTGGACCAAGGCAAGAAGCGGTGCCACCCCCGTGTGCCTCTGGGGCCATTCTCTGGGAACAGGGTAAGTGGGGTCTGAAGATGGGTCCTGCTTCCGCTCTTCCACCTCCCGGGGGCTTCGGGCAGCGGTGGGCACTGGAAGGAGCAATGTCGAGGAGTCAGGGACTCTTGTCTGGTTTCTCTCACTTCTTGCATGTGTCTACAGCCCTTGCCTTCTCAGTGTCCCTGTTTGTCAAACAAGGGAGGGTCCGTTCAGCTCCATGGTTATCCGTGACACTGAAGCCCATTCCAGAACTCTCCTTGAGAGTTTTAAAGAAAAGGATTCTTAAGTCAGGGTCAGGGGGGCCCCTTGAAATCCTGTGTAAAATTTCGTGTCTATGTGCACCGTCTAACCAGAGCTTCCAGAGCTTTCATCAGATGCTTGTCCCGGGTGTTGCAGTTTGTATTATTTACTTGACTGTTAAGTCACTGTTTCACATATGTACTAACTTTCATTGCTTTACAGAGTTGCAACAAATGCTGCAAGAGCACTAGAAGAGAAAGGTACTATAAAATGATTACATGGTATAATTTTCTTGCTTGAGGTGGGAAACTAAGAACAGTCAAGAGGCTATCGGGCACCTTGCACCCCAGAGATACCAAATGCACCCCAACTTTAGCCAGTTTCTGAGAGCATAACAAACTTTCCTTTTTCTCTCTATTTAATGTAAAACAATAGCTGTTTTTCAAGATTATGAAATTTAAAATAAATACTAAGGAGTTAAAATTACCTTTGAAAGATCTCTCATTGTCAAGTGATAATAAATGTTATTATAGAGTAATTTGAATTACAGGAGAGGAAAATAATACCCAAGAAATAATAGGCAGGGCTTGCTTTCTGCAGCCTTATGTAATAATTGTGTCAGCATTTCCCAAAATGTACTGAGAACTGCCTGGATCAGAATCTCCTGCAGTGCTTTTTTAAAATCCAGGTTTCCTGGATCTATTTTCATGAACTGGAATCTCTGTGAATAGGACAAGGTGATTTTCCTGTGCATTAGAAGCTTGTGCTCTCTGGCATCATATCTGAATCTTTACTTGGCAATACAGGTCAGGCTGAGTTATGTAAACACTTTAAAACAAGTCACCTGCTAGTCACAATCTTAATTACTTATGTAAACAAACTCAACATTGTTTCAATGCTCTTCTAAGCTCTCATAATTCTCTATCACTTCCTTCACAGTGTTGACAGTGCTATATTATCTGAACTAAATTCTCATGAAAATGAATACTTCACTTCCTGGATAAGCAATGACCTTGGAACACTTTAATTCCATTTGTACCCTTGGCCCCTTATGAACTCTTGCTGTCATGTATTTTAATTTTCCCTATGCACACTCCATAAAATATTATTTTTATATTATAAAGTCAATATTTAGATTTCATCTCTTTTTTTTGCTCTTTAGTAGTTTCAGTAGTTCTCTGTTTCCATCTAGGATTTTTATTCCTCCTGTCTATTGGTAAAGAAGTCTCTCAGTTTTGGTCTGAAAATGTCTTTATCTTATCTTCATGTTTGAAGGATATTTTTACTGCATAGAATTCTTGGTTAGCAGTAATTTTATCTCAACACCTTGTTCTGGTTTTCACTGTTTCAGTAGAAAGTCAGCTGCAGTCTTACTGTTGCTCCTTTGAAGACAGTGCTTGCTTTTTCCTCTGACTCTTCTTGAGATTTTCTTTTGGCCTTAGTTTTTCTGCAGTTTTACTGTGATTTTTCTAGGTGTGGATTTCTTAGTACTTATTCGGATTGAGGTTTATAGCACATCTGAACTCTGCAGCTTGATGTTAATCTATTTTGGAAAATTATTGGTCCTTGTATCTTCAAATATTGTGCCTGCCCCTTTCTTGTCTTCTCTCCCTCCTATGTCTTTTTCTGGGTTTTCCAGACTTTTTTTCTCTTAGTGCTCCAGTTTAGATATTTTCTTTTGGTTTATTATACAGTTCACTAATTCTTTTCAGCTGATTCTAATCTGGCATTTAGCCAGTCTATTGATTTCTTAATTTCAATTAAACTGTATTTTTCAGTTCTAGAATTTCTATTTGATTACTTTTTATAGAATTTATAGCCTTCTGCTCAAATTTTTTTTGTCATTGATTTCTTGAATATATTAATCATTTAAATATATATTTAAATTATGTGTCCATGTATGTAATGCATGTATGCAAATATGTGTAAATAATTTTAAATGTGAGAATTTTAACACTTTGATATCATTATAGCAATGCTCTAATTATTAAAAATTTAACAATTTTACTATTTGTTAAATTATTTTAAATTTTATATATGATAACTCCAATATCTAGATCTTTTGTTGGTCTTTTTGTATTATGGGCTTTTTTTCATTTTGGAGGGAAGGCTATTTTTGTCTCTATGTCCAGCTATTTTTAATTAAGTGCTAGACATTGTTTATGGAAAATTGTAGACATGATTTGAGGCTGGGGTAAGTTATCTTTGTTTAGAAGGAATTTGTTTTTCTCCTGAAAGAAAGTTATAGTAGCAGGGATCACCTACCATAAATCCAATCAGATATTGAGCTGCTTTTAGGCTGGTCTATTTCTAGTTCACCACTACTCCCAAGGTGTCATCCTTTGAAGTCACAACAAAAAGCCTGAGAAATGTACTAAGGCCTTTTGCCTTGTTAGATCCTGAGGTCTAATTTTGTCCTTTTGGTCCCGTGAAGATGCTGAAAATTCTGTCTAGTTCTAAGCCTCTAAGCTACCACTGTTGTTTTCAAAATTTCAACTGCTTTGAGGGGAAAGTCAGCTCAGACTCTTTGGTATTTTTCTTTTGGTAATGGCTCCACAAAAATCTCACTGATTTAGCAGCCCTGGCATGGGTCCAGGAATTTGCATTATTAATAAGCTTCACAAATGATTTGATGCGGGTAGTTCATCTACAAGACCTTGAGTACTCCTTATATAGTGAAGGTGATATTTAGATATGATAGGTGAATTATATCTTTTTTATTATTTTCAAGGATCCCCAGTTGATGCTATTATTCTAGAAGCTCCATTTACCAACATGTGGACTGCAAGTATCAATTATCCCTTGTTAAAGGTGAGTCTCTTACTCATCTTCACAATATGTTCACATGTTTCCACACACATGTATTAACCACATTCCTTTTCCTAACTAGTTTTATATATTTCTAAGTTATTCTAACCTAAGACAGGTTATTAGCTAGTTGCTATCAGAGGAGGCCACAATGGCTTTTGGATTTGGTAGTGCCTTTATTATTATTTTTAAAAAGACTTTATTCATTTTTTAGAGAGAAGGAAAAGGATGGAGAAAGAGAGGGGGGGAATGTTGATGTGCAAGAAAAACATTGATTGGTTGCCTCTCGCATGCACCCACGTGGAGGCCTGGCCCACAACCCAGGCATGTGCCCTGACTGGGAAGCGAACTGGCAGCCTTTTGGTTTGCAGACTGGTGCTCAGCCCACTGAGCCACACCAGCCAGAGTGGCATTGCTTTTAGTTTCTTCTAATAAATTGAGTGGCTTATTAAGAGCCAAAGCTTTACTTCTTATCTTTTACATTTTTTAATAGGCTTGATTTAGCTTTATTTATTATTTTCATTTTTAAAAGTGAAAACAAACCTCTTGTGCATCATTTTTAGTCCTATGAATGTTAGTCATACATCTTTCATAGTTTTATGATAAGAAACCATGAATTCTCTAGAGAATTCAAGGAAGCTGCCAAATGATGCTATACAGTATCCCATGTAGAGAAGACAATCTTGCCAATAAAATAAGGTATAAGGAATTGGGCAACAAGATGTAGTTTTTTAATCTGTTGTGTAGTTTATCCTAATTTTATAATTTTATTTCAAGCTCAGTCCTCAACTGTTTATAGTCATACTTCCATATAAGGAATGAGAGTGAAGGAGAGAGGGAGGATGGGGGTAGGAGAGCAGAGAGACTCTTAGAAGGAGTACATAGCCCCAAAATTTAAGTTGTTGTCTAATGTTGGAAGGCATCCTAGGGGCGCTTTTATTCAACTGTCTTCTTGTGGAATCTTTTTTGGTTAACTATTTCAGGGAAAGGTAGCTCATTATTTCTGGGATAGCCAATTCACAGAATCACAGAATCTTGAAAATGCCTGTACTTCCTAAGTTTCAACTCAACACAGGAACCCCTTCTACAATCTAAAATACAGAATGCTGAGTAATTTAGGATTTAACAAATAAGACATTTTCTGTTGGTTCTAGACAACTGAATATTTTAAGATAACTATTAACTGATCATCTATTATATTGTGCTAAGTAATTTATAACAAATTCCCTAACCATAGTTATTTAACAATTCAGATACAAACTTCCCATTTACTTTTGTTTCTTTTTTGAAATTCTATAATATTTAAAGTTACCGTAATAGAGAAAATACATGATTTAATAAATAATTATAAAGTGAACACATAAATCAAAATGTAACCAATACCTCAGTCAAGAAACTAGCATCACCAGAAGTGTCATCTGTATGTTGTTTTTCAACCCAATAAACCTCCTTTTAGCTGTAATTCTTAGTCTGAATTTTATGGTAATTACATCCATCATTTTCAGTCCTCTGAGTGTCAGCTACATCTTTTCTTTGTGTTACCACCTGTGTGTGCATCTCTAAGCAATATAGTTTTACTTGTTTTTGAACTTTATGTATTAGAATTATATAGGATGTAGTCTATCATATTTTGTCACCCAACCATTTATCATTGATGTATACAGCTCTAGTTTCATTATTTCCATTGTTATATAGTATTTCATTGCATAAATATACTACAACTTATTCATCTAGTCTGTTGGTTGTTGACATTTGAGTTGCTTTCTATTAAGGGTAACTAATAATTTTGTTGTTATAAATATTATTGAACATGTATTCTCTGAACTTGTATACATATATCAGTGGAGTATACCTTGGGAATGGAGTTGCTGGGTAATAAGGTATGTATATATGTTCAGCTTTACTAGTTATAGTGCCAAGCAGTTTTTCAAGGTGACTTTGTGACTTTACTCTCCTACTTACTGTGTGTATGAGAATTCCAGTTGCTTCACATATTTGCCCTTGTATTGATCTCTTTGTAGTTTTAATTTGCATTTGATGACTGATAAAGCTAGACATTTTTTCATATATTGATTAGCCATTTAGATATCATCTCCTGTGAGATAACTTGCTCATGTCTTTCACTCATTTTTAAAAATTGAATTGTCTTTTATTAGTAGAAGTTCTTCATAGGGTAAGTCATCAAAATTATTTGTTTTTCAGATATATTCTATGTTTTTGCTTTTTAAAAATACTTGTTTTGATTTTTTTAACTCCCTTAATGGTATCTCATAATGAAGAGGTGTTCCTCAATTTCATGCGAACCAGTTTACCAACATTTTTTAATGGTTAAGGCTTTTTAAATAAAAGGAGCCTGTTTAATAAAACTCTGCTTACCCAAAGATTATGAAGATACTCTTCTATGTTATTTTCTAGAAATACCTTTTACCTTTTACATTTAGAGCTACATCACAGGCATGTATTTTTGCATATGTAGGATGTAGAAGTCCATATGCCTGTTCAGTTGGCCCAGTACTACTTACTAAATTGACCTTCCCCATCACTCTGCAGTGCTAATGTTTGTATGTATCAGTGTTTCTCTCTTTATATACATATATGGGTCTGTTGGTAGGTCCTCATTTCTCTACAATCTCTTAATTACCATAGCTTTATATGTCTTGCTATCTGGCTAAGTTCTTCAGCTTTGTTCTTTTTTATTTAAAAAAAAGTTTTATTTATTATATTTATTTTTAGAGAGGGGGAAGGGAGAGAGAAAGAGAGGGAAAGAAACATTGATGTGTGAGAGAGACATCAATCAGTTGCCTCTTGCTTATGTCAACCGAGGACTGGGGCTGCAACCCAGGCACGTGCCCTGACCAGGAATCGAACCTTTTGCTTTGTGAGAAGACGCCAAATCAACTGAGCCGCACCAGTCAAGGAAGTTTTGTTTTACTGAAGACCTTCTTGACTATGGTTTACCTTTTGCATTTCCACATACAGTTTGGAATATATGTGTCAATTTCTTTAGAAAAAAATTTCCTGGGGTTTTGATTGGGATTACTTTGGATCTACAGATCAGTTTTGGGGGAGGGTTGAAAGCTTTCTAATAACGAGTCTTCCAATTCAGGAACATGGTAAATACAAATTTATTTTTAAAATTCATTATTATTTAGATTTTCTGAATTTCAGTTTTAGGTTAGATTTTCTTAGAAGACGAGCCAATGGCAGGGATTTGGTGTGATTTATTGAGAGTACCCTTCAGGAAAGACCTGCAAGGCCATCTGAATGAGGGTTGTAAGATAAGGAAGAGGAAAGAGCAAAACAAGGAGCAACCTAAGGTAGAGCCTGGCTTTGGCCTGATCCACTGGGACTCTAAGGTTTGAGTAAAGAGGGTAGTTGTTTCTGCCATCCCTGGGGTTAGAGCGTTGGGGGAGGGTAGCATAACCTTCCAGAAATAATGGCTTCTGTCATCCAAGGGCAAGAAGGAGGGGGCAGCTAATGTTCACAGCAAGAGTTAATTAGTTTTATTAGTTTTTTCAAAGAACCAACTTAGAGTTTGTTGATTATCTATATTGTAGGCTATCTATCTTATTAATATCTGGTCTTAACTTTATTATTCTCTTTCCTCTATTTTCTTTAATTTGTTGTCCCTTAAAAATTTCCTTGAGAAGGTACTTGGATAATTTATTTTCAGTATTTCCTTTCCTAATTTATGTATTTAGGCAGAGTCCACCAAAACCACACTTCGGCTGCATCTCATAAGCTTTGAAGTGTATTTTAATTATAATTTTATTCAAGATATTTTATGATATTGTGCCTTCTTTATTTATTAGTGTGTATTTAATAATTTCTATACATTCCAGGATTTGATTGTTTGTTACTGATTTCTAGCTCAATTCTACCATCATCTGAAAATATACTCTGTATGATTTCAGTTTTTGAAATCTGTTCAGAGTTGCTTTATGTCCCAACAAGTGGTCAATTTTGGTAAATGTTTCATATGCTTGAAAAGGATGTGTTCTGTTCTTTTGGCTACAGTGTCCTAATGTGTCAATTAAGTTAATATTGTTAACATGTCATTCAATTCTTCTATATCTTTACTGATATTTTTGACTGTTTTATTAGTTACTCAGGGAAGAATATTAAAATATTTCACCATGATTATGAAGTTATTTCTATTTTAGTTCTGTCAATTTTTGCTTTAGTTTTTTGATGTTTTGTTATTAGAAACATACATCTAATAATAATGTAATTTAAAAAAGAGGTTATTTATTCTTAGAGGGGGAGAAAGGGAGGAAGAAAGAGAGAGAGAGAAACATCGATATGTGAGAGAAACATTGATCAGTTGCCTCTCCCACACGCCCTGAACAGTATCCATGTCCACAACCCACGCACATGCCCTGATGGGGAATCAATCTCATGAAATTTCACTTTGCAGGACAATGCTGAACCAATTGAGCTACACTGGTCAGGGTGATACGTAATTTTATATCTTTCATGAGAGTTGACCCTTTTTTCATCATGAAATGTCTTCTTTTATACTTAATAATGCTTAACTTAAAGCCAACTTTGTCTAATATTAGTATACCTTTGTTTTTGAATTGTTTGCTTAATACATCATTTTCTATCATTTGACTCTCAATTTTTCCTCAATTCTTACATTTAATGTATTTCTTGTAAGCAGCATATAGTAGGGTTTTGATTTCTTTTCCAGTATAACAAACTTTTGTTAATTGTAGTATTTAGTCTGTTTATATTTAATGTAATTATGATGTATTAAGGTTTCAAACTACTCTTTTATTACATATTTTTCTATTTGTGTAGACTGCTCTGTGTTCTTTTGCCTCTGAGTTGTTGCTTTCTTCTGACTTGGCACAGCGTAAGCACTGGATGACCTCTAGCTATTTTTTATTATGAGTGGAGTGCCATAACTCTAAAATGACTGTTGAATAAGAAAGTGTACGTTGTGTGAGACATACAGATGCAGTAAAAGGCATAGGTCCTTACCCTTGAGAAGCTTGCTGTCTAGTTGGGGAGACAGGAAATTAAAGGGGGATATAAAATAATGACAGGGATTTCCATGTGATTTTGGAATCAATTTCATTACCAAACACAGGAAAGCAACATGAGGGTGGAAAAAGAGCATTGGCTATGGAGCCAGACATATTCTGAGTTCAAACTTGGCCTCTGCCACTAACCAATTATGACCTAGGAAAGTTATTTTTCTCCTCTGAGTTTCCCGTTTTTATACAGTGGGGTTGATAATTGCCTATTGCATAGGTTGTTGCCAAGATTAAATTAAGTAAAATGATGTATGCAAAGTACCCAGCTGTTAATAGGCATGGAACAAATGCATATTCTCTTTTCTCACTCTTTCTGTTACCAAGTAGACGAAGGTAAGTGTTAGGAGAGGACCCCGAACAATGATTTCCATCCAGATAAGGAGAATTCAGGGCAGAGGAAGGTACCGTGTGCAGGAGTGGTCAATGAGCACGTACAGATTGATAGAACTTAAGCTTCCTCCTTGAAGGTGAGGGAGAGCCCTTAGGTCACACAGTCTGGAGGGGAGACTGTTGAGTCAAGGCACCTGGCTGGAATGAGGAATTATAGGCTATAAGATACTGAGAATCATACAGGCCTCCACATAAGATCTTTCACACTCGTCATCCTTTTACATCCTCACAGCAACTCTGTGAGTTTGGCATCATTGCCTGCACTTAGTATGTGTAAAAGGCAGGAAAACAAAGAAAGAAGAGAGCGCATTGGGATGTCCAGACTGCACCTGAATGCAAATCATTTGCTGTGAGACCAGGCAAAAAACGCAGGCGAGACAAACCCCATGAAACCACGAGGTTCCTGGACCCAGCAGGCCGATGCCAGTACTGTGAGGCGGAAGTTTGTCTTTGCTGCCCCAGCTGCAGATTGTGTACCCACTTTCCACCAAACTCCCCACAAGTTACCAAAGTTCCTACGATGGCATGACTTAATTTTTAAAAAATATTTATTTGTGTATTTTCAGAAAGAGAAGGAGAGGGGGAGTGGAAATGGAGGAGGGAAGGAGAGAAGCAGAAAGGAAGGGGGAAGGGAGTGAGAGAGGGAGAGTGATTTATTGTTATTTATCCATTCATTGGTTGATTATTGTATGTGCCCTGACCAGGAATTGAACCCGCAGCCTTGGCATATTGGGAGGACACTTTAACCAACTTAACAACCCAGCTAGAGCATGACTAACTTTTTTAAATCAGAAAAAAGTATTTTAAAAATGTTTATTGTATTTAGAAAGTTACTATTCTTTATATTACTATAATTCATAGTAGGACACTACAACAAATTACATATTATAAAAACTAACTCTAATTTCTCTATACTCATAAAGGAGGATATGCATCATCCAAACATTGCTTCCACAGTGAACATAATTATTTTCTTTTTAAAATTGTGAAGCTGAGCTTTGTATTTACTGGCCGCAGCCAACCTATCCTGTACCCGTATCCTCCCCTAGGCAACGTCCCATTTACTACATTGCAATCCCCTTCCTTCTCTCCTCCATTCTAAGGAATAAAATCTGAATGGAATTCAGTCACAATAAGATGAAAATGACTGATAATAGCTTAAAGTATACACCAGGGATTTTACATAATAGACTCATTTCATGTTTTGCAAATATTTATTAAGTGTTCATTAGGTACCAGGAACTTTTCTAGGTTCTGGAAATACCATAGAGAGTTAGAAAGTTATGGTTCATCCTCCTGTAAAGTTTATATATGCGCTGGTGAGACAGAAGAGCATTTTCAATAGTGAGAAGCGCCGTGAAAGTAATGCAATGTCGTAGGGTGGGGCTGGGTGGTGGGAGGGCAAGGTTCAGTAGCTGGTTAGGGACAATGCTTGCAGAAATAGTGTCTGAACCGAGGCTTGTATGAGAAGGAGCCAGCCGTCGTGGGAAAATCTGGAGGATTCGGGCTGAGGGGAAAGCAAGGGCCAGAGCCCGGAGGTGGGATCAAGGCTGTTCCAGGACCAGAAGGCAGCAGCCAGATTGTGTATGGCCTCGCAGGCCAAAGTGACACGTGGGTTAAATCCAAGTGCCTTTGGAGGATGTGAAGCGAAAGAGTGATAGGATGCGATTGGCACCTTAAAACAACCACTGGTTTCCCTGTGGGGAATGCATGATAGCAGGGTGCAGGTGGAAGCGCAGAGCCCCTTGGGATTGTTGGTGTAATTCAAGCAAGAGATGGAAGGCAGGTTAGGCTGGGTGACAGTGGAAATGGAGAAAAATGAATGGATTTGGGATATAGCATGCAGGTAGAATTGAAGTTTGTGAGGAAGATATAATATTGCTCAGGGTTTTTGTCCGTCCTTCATTTTTAGTTGAAATACATGATTTTAAGGCGTATAAACCAATTTACCTATTGACTTCATCAAAATATGGTAAAGCTAATTAAACTAGAATTCTATTTATTGGAGTTTTGCCATTAACAAGAAAATTGAGTATGTTTAGAATGTAATTGTTGTATTTGGAGTCCTGTGGGCATTGTTTAAAAAAAAAAGACCAAACTAAAATGCCTTGTAAGACATTGCAGTTCTAATTCAACAGTTTATAATGTTCAGATCCTTTAAATCAATTATCTATGTATTGCATACTTTCATCAATTTTTGACTAATCAACTATTCTGTTCCCCAACTAAACCAGTTATGTTCACTGTAGAAGCAATTTTTAGATTATATCACTGCTCCCTTAAGAATATGAAGAAGTAAGTTAGTGGTGCTCTTTGTATGGTAAAAAAAGAAGGAAGCAAAACATAATAACAATGATGGTCAATGAATGGTGGGATCATGTGTGATCTGTTTCTTCTCTGTTCCCTTCTGTATATTCCAAATTCCCTACAATGATATGAATTACGTTTATAATCATAAAAGTTTTGTTTTTTAAAAAAGTTCATTTTATTTAGAAAATTACTACTCTCTATATTACCATAGGTCATGGTGGAAAACTACAATGAATGATACGGCTGCAGGCCAAGTTTAATTTTTTTTCTTTCTAAAAAATAGATTTACCAGAAACTTCCAGGATTTTTACAAACACTCATGGATGCCCTGAGGAAAGACAAAATAGTCTTCCCCAATGATGAAAAGTAAGCTAATGATGAAAAATGGCCATTATTATATGTTATTATATGTCTATAGGATTCTGGGGTGTCACTGTCATGTGACTTGCTGGATGGGTAGATGAAGAGTCTGAAAGAGTAGATGAGAATTCTTAGGTAGGTGGTAGGATTCAGGGTAACGTTTTCTACAAATTTTTAGTATTTGCTGTTTTCCTCATGATTAAGTTGATGACTTCACAGATTCAGTACTATCTCTGAAGTCGTAACAGGAGTCGTAGATTTAGGGCCTATCAGGACCTTTTGAAGGTCCTCTAACATTTCTTGGGGCATCCCTGACTTCTAGGCCTTGTTCCCTTTGTAACCCAAACCTATCCACTATCCAGCCTACAACCTGACAGCAAGTCCAATGAGGAGAATTTGGTAAATTACCCTCTCATAGGTGGAGAATTTGAGCAGTTCCTCGTTATTTGTATTTTAGTATTTTTCTATTTCAACACACTTGAGAGATCTCCCATTCTCAGGTGTACCAAACAGCAAGTCACTGTGGCCTGGATGGAAATATCAGGATGGGTGCGGGGCGGGAAGTGCTGTTTGAGGGTGTCCCTGGAGCCAGGAATGAGCAGTCTTCATGCCGCAGCCTTTTTGAATTACCAGAGCAGGAGGCGGACCAGGAAGCTAATCAAAACCATTTATGGCATGTTCCTCCCATACATTTGTGGAGAAAAGTAAATAAATGGACACAAAGAATCCCATTTTGTCCTGTGGTAGTTGTTATTTTGGGGTTTTGAGTTCTGTTCTTTTAGAGTTTTTTTAATTATAATGACCCAAATATTCTAAGGAGTAAAGAAAAAGATGAGTTTCTTGTAACTCTGTATAAATTCAGTATTTCGGTATTTTTCTTCATTGTTGAAAAAAAAATCACATAGAACAGACTAAGTTAATTAGGTACCTAATAAAATTGTATAAGTAAATAGAAGGGGAGAATCCTACCCAGAGGAAAAATAAGTTACTCATGGGAGGGAAGGAAAGAGAGTTCTTCTGTTTCAGGCCATCTTCGTTTTGGTAAAGCTTTAACTGGGAGGAAGAGGAGAAATCCCAGCGTGTAATTCTTGGACTGAATGCTTTTGTCCTACTTGCTCCTAGTGTAAAATACCTGTCTTCCCCCCTTCTCATCCTTCATGGTGAGGACGACGTGACGGTGCCGTTGGAGAATGGAAAACAGGTAAACCAAGAGCTCAGTCCTGACTGGGACATACTGTTCATATTTTACCACCTTCTCTTCCAGTCACTTTGATTACAGCCCAAAGAAGGGTCTCTGACATTCTCAGGGATTCTCTATACCCCTAAATAACAATATTGCCTGGTGTATACAGTAAGCATGCCTGTCCTGTGCTACCTGGCTCAAAGGAGTGTTTGTTGTGGACCCTGGTTCCTCATTTGGGGGTCTATGAACCTGGAAGTGTCATTAGGATCCCAGGATACTACGGGAACCTCCATGTAGTCTTTCCTGCAATGGCTCTAAAAACAGGGACACAGTTCCTTTTCTTTCAACGGAACAGAGTGTGTCCATCATGATTCCTTGTCCTCGCAGGGAGGTGTAGACAGTAGAGGATGAGGTTCTCTGTATTCTGTTAGCCATGTGGCTTTCTGGTCTTCAGTTGCAGAGGCAGCCCAGTGGGAATGTGGGGAGTCCCCGCCTCTCTTACCTAATGGGATTACTCAAGCTAGCCATTTCTTATCCTCATAAGAAAATCAGACTAGAAAAACAATGGCTTTGATTGTCAGCCTTCGAGTGTCTGTCTTTCTCTCCCTTTGCAGCTCTATGAAATTGCACGCAACGCATACAGGAACAAAGAGAGGGTCAAGATGGTGATCTTTCCTCCTGGCTTCAAACACAACCTGCTTTGTAAAAACCCCACGCTGTTAAAAACTGTGAGGTAAGAGTAGCTTTGCTAAATGTGATTTTCTTCCCTTAAAGGCAATTAGGGCTGCTCTGGCTTACTTGGACAAGGAGGTGGGGAAAGCATGTGATCTGATCGAGGTCCTTTCTCTGCAGAGATTTCCTGAGTGAGCAGTGGGCGTGAGGTCTGAGAGCAGCAGAAACCTTCAGCGAAGACTTGGTCCAAACACCGCCTGCGATGTGTATTTTTTTGTGTGTAAAATTGTACAGGGCTGCTTAGATAAACTAAAGTTACTGGAATTCCTAGGGTTACCTGCCATCTATGAAGCAGGGATACTGGAGGGTACGGAATGTTCCCATTTAGCTTATCATAGTCTACTTTGTGGAACATGCTGAAACATCAATGTGGAGAATAAGAATTTGGTAAAAACTGGATCCCATATAGAAATATGTAGTTAAATGATTTGTATTTAAATACCATTAAAAAGTTCCAAGCAGTTTTCTAGCTTTCTGATTAGACTGGGGAAAGTTCTAGCATGCGACTCAATCTGTTACAAAATAATACCATTTGGCACTTAGGTAGCTCTGGAAATTGATACTTTATTTTTAGCCATAATACAGGTATATGCTTTCCTCTCCCAATTCCCAGAGATACTGAACTGGACTGTTAGCTAGCCAAACGAAATGAAATCAAATAATGTTGCAAAAATGTTCAAGTCCAATAAGAAGCAATTTTTTTCTGGAGACATTTTACTACTTTCCATTGGCCTTGTACACCTCAGCGCTAGATTCATTGGATAAGGAAATCTTCAGATCTGAAGGCTCCATGTTCCAGATGTCCTTGGCGTATTCCTTGATGGTGCGGTCGCTGGAGAACTTCCCGGAGGCAGCTATGTTTTTGAGTACCATTATGTTCCAGGCCTTTGGATTCTGTAACAACACAGAGGTAATGGCCTAGAGCCTGACTGCCCATCGAGCTTTCCGACAAACATCAGGCCAGGCACACGGAAGTGCATTTCATGGGGAATGACAGGCGTAAACTGTGGTGAGTCATACATACGTTCATTTCATAGTTGACAGCTAAATAGGGCAGGCTGTGATTTTCTCCTACTTCAAGTATATGATTCGCTTAACAATGAAAAAAAGGTTTTCCATTTTCAGAGAAGCCATGAATGTAAATTACTTGATAGGTAATTTTTGCTATGGTTACAATGTTTTGGCATGGAATTATCCTATTTCCCATGCCAAAACATTGTAACGTTTATTTTGAACGAAGATACCTTTCTTTAAAATACAGGGGAAAGAAAGGGGCACTGAAACTCAGTATCTGCTAGATACCATGTCAAGAGATTTAACCTGTGGCTAACAAAGTTTGGAAAACATTACGCTAGAATGCCAGCTATCGGGCAAAAGATCCAGTGAGAGACTTGATTGCCCTACTTCTCTTTTCTTGTTCTTTCTGAAGGCAGATGCCCCAATAGGTTTATACTGAATCCAGAATATTCTGTTGGGGTTTCAAAACAGGATCAATTAAGAATTTATCCTTAATAAAATAGGTAACATTCAAATCTCATCATTTTTATTCTAATAAGAATATAAGAAACTATTTATTTTATAGCCTCATGATTTTGTAAAGCGCTCTAAGAGTTCACTGAAAATGACCAGAACATTATTCAAAACCAATAGCAATGCATTATACCCATTAACAAAAAAAATCTAAAACTGCCATCATTCCTTACGGCACTGCAGAGAATATTTTGTTCAGACTCTGGAAACTTACTAAAATAAGAATAAAAGTTTCCTCTCTTCACTTTCTTTGTATTATTGAGGCTTAGAAAACAATCCCATGAGGTTGGGAAGTCTAGTCATTAAGCCTCAACAATACAATTCTTGTTAAGAGTAAAATTACCATTTGCACTAATGAACAAGAAAGACTGAACCAAATGCTTGGCTTCTAGATGGACACCCTTTGGACGGGGCCCGTCATCTCAACAGAAGAGACCCATTGTGCAAATCCAACATTCACATTTGTGCTTGTCCTTGGTCAGATTTTCCTTTCCTGCCCTGTTTTATTTCCATTTCTTTTCCCCTGTGGCCTTACATACATGCATGAGTTGAAAACAAGAGGAAAGCAGCAGAGGCAACCATTTTCCTTTCTATGCCTCTGAGTTCTTGAAGGCTGTATGTGGCTGCTCTCCCCAGTGCTCAGCAAGCAGCGAGTGAGCCACTCAGCTTAATACGACCCCTCCTTGCATATGGCCATTAACTTGAATTTATTCTGGTCTGTGCACTTTTGGGGGACTGGGCATGACTCCACCAGAAGATAAGGGCTGTGAAGCAGTCTGAGCTTTGAATTATCCTACTTTAAAGCCCCAGTGAGATACCTAAAATGACTGTAGGAACCACCCCCTTTTGGGAGAGGAATAGAAAGTAATGTCAGTGAAGCATGTTTCTGTTGGAAGTAGTTACTGATGTGCCCAAAGGGGAGGAGATGGTGATTTTAGGGATCCTCACCTACAGGATTCTGCCGTATAATGCTTTTCAAGTCAGAGGGCAAAAATAAAGACTATGGGGCACCCTGGCCAGCATGGCTCAGTTGGTTGGAGCATTGTCCCATAACCGAAAGGTTGCGGGTTTGATTCCTGGTCAGGGCACATACCCAGGTTGTGAGTTTGATCCCTGGTCTGGGCACATATGATCCCTGGTCTGGGTCAGTACTGGGTGAGGCAACCAATCGATGAGGTTCTCTCTCACACCGGTGTTTTTCTCTTTCCCTTCCTCTCTCTCTAAAGCAATGAAAAAGAAAATGTCCTCTGGTGAGAGTTTAAAAAAAAAAAAAAGACTATGGGGACAAGGGCAACCATGCCTAGAAGGTTCAAGGACAATGATCTCCAGAGACCCATCCTCTCATCCTTATCTGATCTTCTGTGGTGTCTGCAATTCACTAAAAGTCTTCTATCAGAGATGATCAGCCTTTTCCTGTGTTCACTAAACACACCCAGAGGGCTGGGCTATTTGATACAGATGTACAGGGCTCTGGCCTGGCCTTTCTTTTCCTTCCTTCCTTTTCTTTTCTTTTTTTTGTAGTCTTTCTTGTTCCTTTCCCTTTCTTTCTCTTTAAAAAATTCAACCATGAAACCTTCCCTCTTTCAATATATTTATATTTTATTCATATAGTCCCACTCCATGGGTAGCCCAGGAGAGGTACTTAGTTTGCAATTTTCAAAGAATAGGGGGTTCAGTCCTTATCCCAATAAACTATGGCCCAGCATTAGAATCATTTAAGCTGGTTTTTCAGGTACTGATGATGATCGCACCCACTACTGGGTCAGAAGCTCTCCAAGGGAGACTGACATCTGTCCTTTAAAAAGCTACCCTGGCGATTTTGATAGGCACTAAAGAGGCTCCTGAGGGGAGGGCGGGGCCTTGACTGCGTCCATCCTGGGGTCTCAGTGCCCAGCACAGTGCCTGCCATGAAGACCCCAATGCTTCTCTGTTGCATAAATGAGTGGGTAAATGGGTATTTAATCTGGCTTTATACCTTTAGTTTCTAGAACATGCCTGCTACATGGTAGGTGTTCAACAAATATCCAATTATTTGTAATTTTTTACTTGGATATTAAAACATCTACAACTGCTACTGAAATATCAAGACCCAACTTCTGCCCGAACTTGGGAAAAGTCAAGTTTTGATCTGAACCTAGATGGTTGTCTCACTTCCCTTTTTTGATTGGTCAGTAAGGCCCTGCTATTTAGATTTAATAAAAAGAAACAAAATTTTTAATTAAGCATAGTAAACTGGTTTACTTTTTAAATCTCAGCAATGTACTTACCATGTAAAGCTGGCTGACTTTTTCTTGACATTTGACATACGCTTCATAGTCTGCAAACACTTTAAACCTGTTTTTTTTGCGATTGGAAAAAAAATCAAAATGATAAAAAGCTTCAACAACAGATTATGTGTTAAGATTCCATTTAAAATTCTCCTTGGCTTAACGTCAGGCATGGCTGGTTTACCAAACTCGTATTTCTGTTCACAAGAATTTTAAACAGCCCTCCACCTTTCTATGGTTCTTCCCACATGTAAGAATGTCATCTATGGCTGCATCTGAAAGCTGTGTATACCAGTTCAGGGAGAAAATAATACCAGATTTGTGAGTCTTATTCTTATAGCTTCCTAGCATTGCCAACGGAGAAGATTTAATTTTTCCTTTCAATCCTGAATTAGTTTATCAGATCACACATCTATGCTAATCTACATGGTTGGGTTGTAGCTGGTTTAAGATGCTCTTGTTCCCTTTTCATGGCCCAAATAACATCATCTTCTTGGGGGAGCTCACCTGTCATGATAAAACAGCATGTTGATTAAGTCCTTGAAGAGGTCAGGCTGCTTGGGAGAATAGAAGCCATTGTCAATTTGATCAATGGCCAGCTTCAGCTCCGGAAGAGCCTCGTAATATTCTTTTGCGTTGTACCTGTGGGGTGGGGGTGCGATGAGAAGGTTCTGTTTGTGTTTGTGATTATCAACACACTTGACAACATATTAACTGAAAAATGCACTCAGAAACACTAGTATTTATAGAAGTCATTACAAAGTTCAGGATCGGTATCAATAGTATTTGACTAGATCTTGACACTTCTCTCACTTAAATTTGATTAGTTCTTTGTAAATGAAAACACTGACAGTAGATAAAATATTCTAGTCACAGAGCAGTATCTAATTTGGTAAAATACAATAGAATTCATTTTGAAGCAGACTCTATGGTTCTAAAAAAACATCGTGTTAAGTGAACCAGTTGCTTATGGACACACAGATCCCCAAGTTAGTTGCTACTGAGTTAAAATGTACTTCCCAGTGTCAGGAGCAATACCTGACATCCTCCAAATTTTGTGAACTCTGTAGTTACTTCAGGCAGCACTCTTTATTTCTTGTTGGAATCCAGCTTAATAAACCTATCTAGATATTAAGGGAAAGTGTGTTCCTGGGTGCTTCTGCACATCCTTACCTATTCTCTCCCACATTTTAGTCAATCTCTTTGCAATCTTAAAGGAACACTCGATGGTTTAAATTATAGGCAAAAACTTCACTAAAAACTGGCTCATCTTTTGGTCAAAGTGAAAATCACAGGATGCAGACAAGTGACTAGCTCATCAGACCAGCTTAGCAACAGCTGATAAAAAGACCAACAACGTCATGCACCTGGGCCCAAGCTCCTTTTACTTTCACTTGCTGGGTTTCCAAAGACTAATCTGTGGCTAGGACGTTCCTCTGATTTTTGTGAGGTGTCCACTGCCACATTTCATGTGACTCGGCCTCTGTGGGACACCTGGGTGGGCAGGTACCCTCCTGGGAGAGCTGCTCTCTCACCCTTTCTTGTCCAAAGCAGCCACATCATCCACTCTCATGCCAAAGATGAACAGGTTCTCTTCCCCGGCTTCCTCTGCCATCTCCACGTTGGCCCCATCCATGGTCCCGATGGTCAGGG